GACCACGCTCAGTAAACCCACATCTCGAGCCGGAAAGCCCTTCTCTCATTTCTGTGGGAAACCCAATCCTCCCCGCACACCGAAATCACCTGAGAACTTCAAGGCACTCGGCAGGTTGTGAGAGAACAGGTCCGGGGTGCTGCTGGGCAAAAGGACTGTTAAGTGAATTGGGTGATTCTAAGGTGCAACCGGGTTTGAGAAGCAGTGCTCCGAGTCAGTGCCAGTTGGAGAAAGCGTGGAGGGAGGGGGCTATTCATTGAGCAAAAAAGGAGAGGAAAATGAGTACCAATGCTGCGAATGATGAGGCCAGCTGAAAAATCAGAAGGACCAAAAAAAAAAAAAAAAAAAAGAAACGAAACGCAAAAATGAACTTGAATTTCAGCCTATGCTTCTCTACAGATGAAAAGCCTTACAAGTTTTGCTTGCTATGTGCAAGTAGGGAGTTTCGATCTTTAGATGTTTGGAAGAAAAACCTAGAAGGAAAAGCTGCTCAATTGCAATCCAATCTTCAGGCACTTTTCTGTGTCACAGCCAGATGCCTATTTCAGTCCCGGGCAATTTTAACGCTTTCCTCCTCAGGTGCAGTTGAGATCGATGCAGGCAGTGTTGATATTTCTTTCTTTTTTTTTTTTTTTTAATTTTTTTATTTTTTAAAGATTTTATTTATTCATCAGAGACAGAGAGAGAGGCAGAGGGAGAAGCAGGCTCCCCACTGAGCAGGGAGCCCGATGCGGGACTCGATCCCAGGACCCTGGGATCATGACCTGAGCTGAAGGCAGACGCTTAACCATCTGAGCCACCCAGGTGCCCGGCAGTGTTGATATTTCTAATCTCCCCTTTGTCCTGTCCTGCCGTGGGTTTCACGCTTCACACGGTCCACGCACTTTCCACCATTCCAGTGGATGGCTTAAAAGAAAAGCCAACTAAGGTTTCAAAGTGGGGCTCTAACACTGAGATAAGAAAGAGGGTTTTGCCAGCTTTGGGGATCAGAATGCCAATTTCCACTCTATTTCAGACTATTAGTCCCTCGAGGCCCGGGAGCGAGGCGCGTTTCTGCACTGCCCCAATACTTAGAACAGAACAGTGCACACGGCAAGCCTTGGCAAATATTCTGTACTATTATTATCCGGCAAGAAGGACGTGTGACATGTGTGGGGTGTTTCTACAGTTTCAAAAGTGCTTCCAGGAGCACTGCCCAGAACCCTCAACTCTCTGACCTACGTAAAGATTGTTCCTTCTGCTCTCCAGGATCAGAGGGTTTGGCTGGTACATGGGAAGTCCCATGAGGACTTAAAGGGAGGTCTGGAAGTGAGAACCCAGGCGTCCCACAGCCTTCTCCCCCTGCAAAACCACCAGTAAATGGTGTCTTCAGCTGTGGCAGTTCGGCCTTGTGAACAGCCTATTCCTTTCCTGACACATCTCGGGAGAAAGGAGTTTCTTAGCACTGTTGCTCAAACAACGGGAGATCGGATGATACTTTATACACACGCTGGAACCTGGCGCCTACACGGATGTAAGTTCCCTTAGCATTTCAACTCGCTTAACGTTAAACCTTTTCAACACCGTAAACATTTTCTCAAAAATTCCAGGGCATTCTCAGCTGTGTTCCTTCCCTGCCTAGGGAGGTGGTCCAGAAACCTAACATTGTTAACAAGAGAACCAAGGTGTCCTGCCTGGCACACCAGTCAGGGTCCTGTGTCAAAATCAAAGTCAGGCGTTAACGGGCTGGGCTAGGGCCCTCGGCCACAGGGTGCAGAGAAGTCAAGGGCCTGAACTTGGCTGCAGGAGGCCGCTGGTGCAGCCACTCGGGAACCCGAGAGCTTTGGGGCTCGGGCATTTCCTCTGAAGACCGGTCCCCCGTCCACACCGCCTGTGCCGGGACGCGACTGAGAAGCAGTGAACAGAGAGTTTTGTTTGTGAATTTTCTGTGTGGGAAGTAAAGGTATGGATCCTGAACACATGCAAAACAAAACAAAACACAAAACCTTCCACATTTTTAAAGGAATGTAGAAATTAACAAAATGGAGCTCAAATGTCAGTGTGGAGAGGTGGACAGCACTGGAATGAGAAGGAATAAGGACATGGGGGGGGGCGGTCTCTTCTAACAGAACAGTTTTGATTTAGAAATAGGACAAAGTCACTGCTTAAATACCTTTATTATTTTTTTAAAAATTATTTGGACATTGATAGCTCTGCAAAATACTTCTCCCATCCCAAACCCTCAAACCCTTTCCACATGTCCTCCCTAAAGGAACAAAATAGTCATACTTTGTGCCCATTCAAATCTAATTTTTAAAAACATGTAAGATTCAAAATCAAATATTTTTCCTTTCCCAGAACTTGTTAGTAATTTTAAACCACAATGCAACATACTTAATGGCATTTTTTTAAAAATTAGCTTATCAGACTATTTTATGAGGAAAAAAAAAAAACACCCCTCCATTCAAGGCCTTAGAATATAAATTCCCTGTTTCTGAAAGCAAAAGACATTGAAAAGCCCCTTTGCTCCCCCGGAGTTTGTGATTTCCACGTTGCCAACAGAACCAGCACACAGAGGGGACTTTCTACTTCACATTAGGCATTGCTTACTTTTGGACTGCAGCTGAAATGCTGTATAGTTTGAAAGGATGGGCGGGATAGTTCCAGCACAGAAGAGACAAGGCTGGAAGCGCAGAATGGAAGCTTTCTGAGCAAAGAAGGGCCGGATCCCTAAGATCCCACCTCACGGCAGGTTGGTTTGGAGTGCAGGAAGACGGTAGAAAATCTGCAACCTGCACGGATTTCTTACCAGTGAACACAAGCATCAACCAAACTATTGCACACAGTACCAGAGGCACGTAAACCACGGAGAAGGGTCAGGAAAGGATCACCACAGATGGGGGATGGGGACGCAGAGAAAAGAAAAGAGTTGATGTTGATTGGGAATTACTAAGAGGAGGTGGGCAGAATAATGCCTTCCCTGTCCTCAGCCGGGCAGATGTTTATGCAAACAAATCTTCATTGCAGATGCGCCCGAAAGATCTAGCAAAGGTATCACTTCTTCATTTTCCCCAATACAACTGGTACACTTCATTACCTCGCTAAGGAAAAAAAAAAAAAGGAAGGAAGAAATCCTACAACAGAACCTGGCCCGTCTGGCTAGCTGAACAGCAGCAATGTTTGCAAATGTCCTTTCCTGCCCGCTCGACTGACCTACTGACCTCCAGAGCCACACGGACGGGGTCCTGATGAGCTCCAGGGGGTGAGCTCGCCCCTCGGGTTCCGAGTGGGGCCACTAGGCTTCAAGGAGCTTGCAAAATGCAGACGAGACTGATGAGCTTGGTGTGAGAAGGGAACGGGGGGGTGGGGGGGGATGGATGGCTCGTGTAGCCCAGGGAAGCCAGCACGGTCGCCCACTGTCTCCTCTACTCACGTGACGCCCACCAGCCACACGGAGGCCGTGTGAGCGCGGTCTCCTCGGTACCGTGCCATTGGCTGGTGTGACCAGAGCCAGCCATGCGACGGCTTGAAGTTTCAGAATAAAACACCGGGCTCAGCTCCGCCAATGGATGTGAATCCTTTTTCCACTGCAGTCACTGGGGCAACGTTCTGGGGGCTCCAAGATCCTGGGCTCCCTAGATGGGTCGGTCTCCCCTCCGTCCAAAGCCTTAGGACTACACCGCCTCGGTGTCCCGGCGCCCTCTGACTAGTTTCCCACGTATCTCTCCTTTAAGGCTTCCCCGACATTCAGTCTCAGTCCTGTACAGTACATAGGTCGTCAAAAGGAAAGTCACTTTTTAAGAATACACCATGTCCCTAACGCTCATCTAGACCGAAGGGCCACGTGTTTTCTCACACCGACCCTCGAAAGGCAGCTTTCAGCCTGTTTTGCTCCTGTGGGTTATAGCTCTCTCCCTCCTGTATTCTGAGCAAGTCTCGTAAACCACCAGCCGATGCGACGCCCCAACTGATACCAACCTATTCGGCTTTTTAAAACGTTAAAAAACAACAACAACCCCCCCCAAACCACACCCCGCCCACACACACCCACACACACACTTTGGCACGTGAGCCTTGAGTTATTCGAGCGTGTTCACGTTCCCACCCCCTCCCCCGTCCCAACATTTCAGAGTCGCTGTTTCAGGAGAACGACGGGCCCCGTCTGCTTTCGATGGAGAAGGTCATCTCGGAGCACTGCTGTCGTGAGTAGCAAAAGGAGGAGGTACAAATGCTAAACTGGCCCCCAAAACAGCTCTCAGGTTTAGCACTAGAATGGATGCAATGCTGCAAAACTTTTGTACCAGGATGACTAGTTTGAAACTGCTGGTTGATTAAATATACATTTACATATAGATATAGGTATAAAAATTACTAAGTCAACATTTGCTGTTTTCAATGTGAAAACGATAAAATGTAATTCTGAATAATTGTGCATTTGCCATAGGGTCCTTGTTAAAGGGACCATAAAAATAATTTTGTAATAAAAAAACTCTTTTTTTTTTTTTTTTTTCCCTTTTTTTTTTTTTTTTTTTCCTTTTTTTTTTTTTTTTTTTAAGTTTAGTATTGCCCTCAAGTTCAAAAAGTTTGGAGCAAACGTGCTGAGTAAAGCAGGATTGGAATCTGTTCCTGCCAGGGATCCGGAAGCCTTAAATTCAGTGATCCCTGATGGTGGGCCCAGGGGAAACCTGCCAGCCACTGACTAACGCGGCAGGGCTGGGCAGCGCCAGGTGACCCCGTGAAGCAGCCTCTGCCTCCCGTTTCATTGGCGGATGCTGCTGCAGCGCCCTAATTCCCTGCACAGAGCTCGGGGCAGGGGGGGCACACGTGTGCTGGGGCTCTGCCTTCTCTTGAGCTACCAGACTAAGCAACTGGGGGTGGGGAAGGGGGGCAGCGCGCAGGGCTGGGGCCTGGACAGAGACCACTGAGCACCAAGGCTGAGGGTGACTGGGGGGCGCTGACCTTCTACTTGGTTGGAGGTGGGGATGGAGGGAGGAATGGGCCTTTCGGTGATACAGAAGTTAGCTGTGCAGCAAGGAAAAGTGCATTTAAGGTAGCTTAAAAACAGATTAAGACCAAACTGCCTCAGAGAGGGAGGAAGAACAGAGAACACTCCCTCCGCCTGCCTGCTGGTTGGCCATGCTCCTTGGATTCTGTGGGTTAACATTCATGCCTTCTGATGCGAATCTGCTCGTGAAGAAACAGGAACACACGTTCTCCTGGTTCTGGCAGGTACACAATTTTCTTGGCAAAGTTCTTTTTTTTTTTTTTTTTTTGCCAAGTTCAGTTTTATTTAGTTCCTGCTCTGAACCGCTGTCACCGGAATTCGTAGATGGGTGCGCTGTGTTCAGGAACATGCGTTAGGTTGAGGGACTGATACCTGCAGTGTGGGGAGAGAGAGAAAACGGGAGGCGGTCTAAGCAGCCTGAAAACCAAAGAGAGGTGCAGAACCCCCTCCCTACCACCGGAGCACCCGGCGAGCCCCAGGCTGGAACCGGATTGCAGGTGCAGCTCAGACCTCTTCGGCTGCACCACGTTTGGTTCTCTTTCTGGTTCTTTGGTTAATCCTCCTGAGCTCTGTGTAAGAGGAGCTGCTTTTAGGTCTCGTGCTCTGACCATGAGGCAGTTATGGTATGTCTTATGAAAGGAGAGGCAGAGTAAGCTCTGGGAGAAGATGCGGACCGAAACCCTGGGCCCTGGGCCTCATCCTCGCCCTCCACTCTGCCTCTCTCTGACATCTAGCACCTCAGCTGCTCCGGGAACGTCAGGCTGGAACATCCTCAGGACTGCATGGGGAGCATAGGCACTCCCCACTTCTCACGGAATACAGAGACTTCCCAGCTAACCCCGAAGCTTACGTTACCATTCACCTTCATTTTCTCGCCTCCCTAGACATGGCTACGAGGCTTGAGAACATCAGAGTTCTGAGGTGTTTGTTTTTGCCCCGTTGGTAGGTGCTCTGAGGAGTTAAGCAGATAAAGGAGAAACAGAGGCGGGGACAATCCACACACAGGGATGATAACCCCCCCCGGGGGACAATCAGAGTACATGGGGTAGATGCTAGCTCTCCCCTTACTTGTTTCACGTGGGCATGAGGAGGAGCACAGGAAAAAGCAGTTTATTTCTCACCCCAAAAAAATTTAAAAAAGAAAAATCAAGATAATGCATCAGCCATCAGAATATGCAAATCAAAACCATGAGACCCCACTTCATAACCACAAGAGTAGCTATAATTGTAAAGACATCGTAACAAGCGTTGGGGAGGATGTTGAGAAACTGGAACCCTGGTGCATCACACACTTTGGCAGTTCCTTAAAAAGTCAGAGAATGACCATAGGACCCAGCAATTCCACTCCCGGGTATATGCCCGAAGGAATTAAAGCAGAAACTCAAACAGATACTTATACAATCAGCAGCATTAACCACAATAGGCAGAAGGTGGAAATAACCCATCAACTGATGAATGGATAAATAAATAAATAAATAAAATGTGGTACAGCAGTCCCCCCTTATCTGTGGTGGATACGTTCAAGTACCCCCAGTGGATGCCAAAAACTGTGCATAGTACTGAACCCTACAGACGCTATGTGCGTAAACTTGTGATAAAGTAAAACTTATAAGTTAGGCACAGTAAGAGATGAACAACAATAACTAATAATAAAACAGAATAGTTATAACAATATTGGGCAATAAAAGTTACGTGAATGTGGTCTCTGTCTCAAAAGACCTTCTTGTGCTGTAGTCTCACCCTTCCTGCTGTGAGGATGGGAGGTGAGAACATGCCTGCGTGAGGAGATGAGGTGAGGTGAGTGAGGCAGGCATGTGACCGAGTGCTGGGCCACCCCGACTACCATCCGCTTCTGGACTACGGCTGACCGCGGATAACTGAAACAGTGGAAGGCAAAACCGCAGATAAGGAGGGGCTACTGTACATCCATACCACGGAAAATTATTCAGCAATAAAAACGAAGGGCTGATCCATGCTGCCACATGGCCGAACCTTCTGAACATTAGGCTGAGGGTAAGAAACCTAACACAAAGGAGCTTCATAGTGTGTGTGGTTCCCTTTATAGAAAACATCCAGAATAGGCATGTCTGTATAGAAGTCGGTTAGTAGCTGGCTGCCTCGGGCTAGGAGGGGATGGGGCTAAGGGGAACAGGGTTTCTCGTGGTGGTGGTGGGAGCATTTAAAATTGATTGGGGTGATGACCGCACAACCGTGAATATTCAGGATGACCGAACTGTATGCTTTCAATGAGCAAATTGTATGGTATGTGAATTCGCTCAATAAAGCTGTTATTTAAAAAAGGATATAACAGATTTTAAACACTCCTTTGAAAACAGAGCAATTACTGAAACCCTGGTTTCAGCAACTGTGGCTCTCGGGGAGCGGAGACTGCTCTGAGCCCAAGGGCATTTATTTGCAGATATCATTCTGCTGCCACTGAACAAGGAACTTGAGTCAAGCCAGGGAAGCATCACTCGCAAGTCACCGAACTATAAAACATCTGGAAGGGAATACGGTGTTTCTACGTTCGGAGAGGAAATCAGGTTTTTGTGATAGGGTTCCTTCTTCAGGTACAGCAAGGTGCTTGGAGCAGCAGTGATGGGGCAGGAGAGTCCCCAGAAAGGTGAGAAAAGCTATCGCTTGCGGTGGCACTCAGTCCTTCACCTCAGATGAAACACAGGGCAGGACCGTCAGCTCCCATGGGGACCCCGGTCACTAGACTGAGATCAAGAGTGGGTAGGGCCGGCATCTAAGGGATGTGACCACAAAATTAGAAAGGCTGCTAACAGCAAAACTCACCCTGTCCATAGCTGGAGCTTACACTGTAGTTACTGATTAAATGTGGGAGGAAATACAAGAGCAGCCAAGGTTGGGAGAAACACTGCTGATAATACAGAACTGCTTGCAAGCTTTGAGCAGTGAGTTCCTTTATTGAGCACTTTGGTTTCATCTTATTTACTCTGTTCTGTGGTTAGGGATAGGAGCCCCTCCATGGGCAGCTGAGATCATTCAAAGAGGCCCTCCACATGCAGATAGAGCATAAAAGCTACGCAGAGACAGGGGGAGAGGTTTTCTTTTGGATTCGGCAAGCGAAGGGAGAGCCCGGGCTGCAAGCCGCCGCCCCCTTCGCCTCTGGGGTGCCTTACCATTCTGAACTCCTATGGTAATAGTAGCCTTCTATGGAGGCTGCCGACTTCTGGAAGCAGATGTAATAGAACCCAGCAAAGGAGGCACCGCTGATGTCTTTGATCGTGTGATCTGGGACCAGGAACTGTTCCTGCACACAGATGGAGGAGGTCAGTAACAGACGGCGTGCTCCAGCCACGTCTGGGGCTCCCCGTTAGCCTTCAGGTGGTTCTCGGGTTCCAGTGTCACATGGCCTTGCCCAGGCTTGCTGGACGACGGCGGACATCTGCGTTTCAACCCCATCTGTCGACAGCATTCTAGATAACTAACGCAGTAGCCTGTGTCTTGAGCTCACTGAGATCGGCAATGAAGAGGTTCTACGGTCCACACGTCTTGAAAATGAATCGATACCTACCTACCTTTCAGAGCCCACAGACAGAACGACTCAGGAAGAGGAAGTTTCTGCTCCGCCCCAGGAACTGGTGCTGGGTTCCTGATCGCCTCTGCCTTCTGAGGGCAGACCAAGCACCAACTGCCCCCGTAACAGCTCCTCAAAAAGCTCGACACCTCATCCACAGCCATCAGAACGGTACTATTCTTGCTCGGGCGCCTTGGGAAGAGGCGAGCTTATGATCTCTGGCTACGGCCAAGCTGAAAGGCTACATCTGGGCACCTACTCTTCCAGGAAGATGAGGTCAGTGGCCTCACGGCCCCAAGAGGTCCACTGAGAGCCCATAGTGAGTCACACTGAGAAGGTCTTTGGAGACCAAACAACTCCACTGTTTTGTTTTTTTAAGACACTCTCCGTCCCTTTCTTCAACCTCTGAAATGCTAGTTTTTAAAAATTAATTTTAAAATTAGGACCTTGCAAGATACTTCCTTTAGTACTTTATTAGCTGGCACGTTTCCAAACACCAGACAGCAAGCTCACGAGGGCGGACTCAGCTTTTACTCTTTGCACCTGGCCAGCATCTCTGCAAAAAGTGACGACCCCCGCCCCCAACCCCAAATTATTAGCCATACAAACTAAAGATTGGGAATAACTCCTCTAAATGACTCGCTTGCATGAAAGCTGGCAAGGTTTCAAGATAAAACAGCTTTTTCCTGCAGACTGGGGACCAGGGGTTGGAAGTGGGTGTCCGTTCACAAAGTGATGTCACAAACCCACTTCATGATTTTGCTAGCCTGCGGCTGGAACACAGTAAATACCAGGCTATCAAAAGAGGGAACACAAAAGCCCTGTCAGCCCAAAGCCAATCTCGCGAGTCCAGCCAGATGGAGTTCTCGGAGGGCTGCTGAGTGGAAAACCCAAATTCCATTCCTGGTCCCTCATTTCCTGCCAGAGGGAACCAGACAAGCTGAGACGGCACTGAAGCTTGGCTAGGACGTGGTGAGGGAAGAGCCACTTAAACGCGGGCTCTCGGCTGAGAATAGGAAATGACGGGGCCCAACTCTGGTCCTCCTCTGAGTCCAGAGAACACCGGGGGTGACTCAACCTGGAGAGTCGAAGGTGCTGAGGGCGACCACACCACCCCCGCCCCCAGCCATGAATTTATCTGCTAACCACCAAATGGCGTCACCAAAGACAAACCGTCTTGCATGGCAGCAGTTGGCCAGTGTGGCCTGGAGCCGTGCCTGCTTTTTATGAGCGTGTAAAGGCACTCCACGGAGACAAACCGTAATGAACCACTGGACCCGGGGAGCAGGAGGGGTGCTGGATAGAATGCAGGCTCTGGCTGGGCCGGGACCTTACCTTCCACCTCATGAAGACATAATCCCCATTCTTCAGCTCTTCATAATCAAAGTCATCTGAATTAAATGATTTTGCATACTGATAAAAAGCCAGAAACTTGCCCTGAAAGCAAAAAAATTGAGCATGAGGACCAATCGACGGAGGGGGAGGCTGGGGTCACCACTGCCCTTCTGCGCCCAGCAGCAAGCACCTTCGCAAAGGTGTGATGGCTGCTGGATGCGCCCACAAGAGCAGCAAATGCTGAGGATTGGGGAAGGGAGCCTGAGGTCCCCACCAGTGAACTCGGGCCTGGCCTCCAGCCGAGGCACCATGGGGCTACGCCTGCCTAGTTAATGTGGTCCAGGGAAAGGCCCGGGGCTGGGAACGGATGAGATTCCGGGAGCCTTTTCTCAGAACACCTTACGCCTTTTCTCAGAACACCTTACCACAAGCAAAGCCAGGAAGGATTAGCGAGAAGATCTCTATAAGTGAATCAACATGAGCCATGCAGAATAACTTAGAGCCAGCACATCACCCCGAAGGGAGAGAGGGGTTTACTAAAGCGGGGTCCTCTGACACAGGAATGTGGCTTGGGCCCAGCCAGTGAAGTAGAAACAGGAAATGGGTAATATATGATTAAGTCCTTTTAAAAAAGGAGACCAGAAATAGGTTACAAAACTGTGTCTCATGATCCTGTTTTTGTAAAAAAAAAAAAAAAGAAAGAAAGAAGGAAAAAAGGTTAATATCTGTTTTAACTTTGGGTATTGTTATTATAGATGTTTTTTTCCCTTTGCTTTTCTGTTTACTCAAATATTTAAAAATAAGTATGCATTATTTTATAAAAAATAAAGTTTAAGATACAGAGGTATTAACTCAGAACTTGTCACATGTATATCTCTATTCTAACTGGATTAAGTATATAGAATCTTGACTTTAGGGTACTACCATGATACCAACTTTAAATATCACTCAGGAAAACTTGAAGGTGAAAAACAATGTCTCTGATTCCAATTTACAGGCAGTCCTGGTTTTATTGTACTTCACTTTATTGCTCTTTGCAGATATTGCATTTTTTAAAAAAGATTTATTTATTTATTTGTCAGGGTGGCAGAGGGAGAGGGAGAGAGAAACTCAAGCAGACTCCACGCTGAGCGTGGAACCCAATGTGGGGCTCGATCTCATGACCCTGAGATCACGACCTGAGCCGAAACCAAGAGTTGGATGCTTAACCAACTGAGCCACGTAGGCGCCCCCAGATAGTGCTTTTTTTTTTTTTTTATAAATTGAAGGTTCGTGGCAACCCTGTGTCGAGTAAGTCGATTGGCACAATTTTTCCAACAGCATTTGCTCACCTTGTGTCTCTGTGTCACATTTTGGTAATCCTCGCAACGTTTCAAACTTTTTCATTACTCTTGTATCTGTTATGGTGATCTGTGATCTAATGCCATTGTTTTGGGGCACCACAAACTGCCCCCATATAAGATAGGAAACTTCATCAATAAATGTCTGTGTTCTCACTGCTCCACTGACTGGCCATCCCCCATCTCTCTCCCTCTCCTCAGGCCTCCCTCTTCCCTGAGACACAGCAATATTGAAATGAGGCCAAGTAATAACCCTACAACGGCCTGTGAATGTTCAAGAGAAAGGAAGAGTCCTATGTCTCTCACTTGAAATCAAAAGCTAGAAATGATTGAGCTTAGTGAGGAAGACCTCTCAGAAGCTGAGAAAGGGCTGAAAGCAAGGCATCTTGGCCCAGTGAGCCAAGTTGTGAATGCAAAGGAAAAGTTCTTGAAGGAAAGGAAAAGTGCCACTCCAGTGAACACATGAATGATAACAAAGCAGGCTTTGATGTGGAGAAAGGTTTAGTGGTCTGGAGAGAAGGTCAAACCAGCCCCAACATTCCCTTAAGCCAAAGCCTAACGCAGAGCAAGGCCCTAACTCCCTTCAATTCTGTGAAGGCTGAGAGGTGAAGAAGCTGCAGAAGAAGAGTCTGAAGCTAGCAGAGGTTGGTTCAGGAGGATTGAGGAAAGAAGCCGTCTCCATAACGCAAATGTGCAGGGTGAAGCAGCAAGTGCTGATGTAGAAGCTGCAGCGAGTTCTCCAGAAGATTCTAGATCTTCATTAAGATAATGAATACGCCACACTAAACAACTACACTACACCAAATAACAGATTTTCAGCGTAGATGAAACAGCGTGGTATTGGACGAAGATGCCATCTAGAACTTCTATAGCTAGAGAGGAGCAGTCAATGTCTGGCTTCAAAGCTTCAAAGGTCAGGCTGACTCTCTTGCTAGGGGCTCATGCAGCTGGTGACTTTAAGTTGAAGCCAATGCTCATTGACCATTCTGAGAATCCTAGGACCCTTAGGAATTATGCTAAATCTACTCTGCCCGTGCTCTAAAAATGGACCAAAGTCTGGATGACAACACATCTGTTTACAACATGATTTACTCAATATTTAAAGCCCAACATTGAGACTTCTCAGAAAACAAGATTCCTTTCAAAATATTGTTTGGGGGTGGGGGGATGGGGTAGCCAGGTGATGGATATTAAGGAGGGCACATGTTGTGATGAGCACTGGGTGTTACACGCAACTAATGAATCACTGAACGCTACATCAGAAACTAATGATGTACTATACAGTAGCCAACTGAACATAATAAAAAAAGATATTATTGTTCATTAACAATGCACCTTGTCATCCAAGAGCTCCGATGGAGATGGACAGTGAGATTTATGTTGTGATCAGGCCTGCTAACACAACGTCCACTCTGCAGCCCGTGGATCAGGGAGTCATTTCAACTTTCAAGTCTTCTTATTTAAGAAATACATTTCATAAGACTGTAGCTGCCATAGATAGTGACTCCTCTGATGGGGCTGGACAAAGTAAATCGAAGACCTTCTGGAAAGGATTCGTCATTCTAGGTGCCATTAGGAATATTTGTTGATTCGTGGGAAGAGCTCGAAATATCAACATGAACAGGAGTTTGGAAGAAGTCGATTCCAACCCTATAGATGACTTTGAGGGGTTCAAGACTTCAGTGAAGGAAGTCACCGAAGATGTGGTGGAAAGAGCAAGAGAACTAGAAGCAGAAGTGGAGCCTGAACATGGGACCAAATGGCTGCAATCTCATGATAAAACTTGAACGGATGGGGCGCCTGGGTGGCTCAGTTGGTTAAGCGACTGCCTTCAGCTCAGGTCATGATCCTGGAGTCCCGGGATCGAGTCCCACATCGGGCTCCCTG